TTCGATATTTATCGAATTCTCATAATTCGATAACGATAAGTTCGATATCTATCGAATCCTCAAAGTTTCGATAAACGATAAGTTCGATATCTATCGAATCCTCAAAGTTTCGATAAACGATAAATTCGATGAACGATACGTTCGATACTCTATCGAATCTATCGTATTTTTTATAAGCCCACCCCCTACCCCTTCTTTTCTCCCCCCCATCACCAACCATTGTGATGCCACAAGCCAACAACATTTTATTTTCAACTTATAACTCTAATGAAACTTCAGAAGTTTCGTCACCATCAGAATCCTCAGATTCAAAATCAATAAGGTCAACAAGGTTTTCCTCTTGCGCCGTGTCTATAATGCTTAGATGTGATGTAGCCCAAGTTTTTTCTTTCGCTTCTCTCTCATTTGAAGAGATCAAAACAAATGCCCTCGTGGACTTATTTGAGAGCTTGACTCTTCTCCTATTACCGTAGTATATCCCCATCAAACTGAAAAACAAATTTGTGAAATTACAACTAGTTGGACCTTACCTAAACAACCGTTCGCTGTCAACGGATGAAGCAGGTACAACTAAATATTTTTTCGCCATCTGGGCTAAGCTGGGGAAAATTTCTTCGTGTACTTCCCACCACTTATCAACCGAACTTTCCACAGATGGTCTTGTAGTAGTGAGGGTCATTTGGTATTGAGCTATCTCATGCTAAATATAAGTTGATCTTTGAAACATAAATGTCGATTACATTACTATCACGGGTAGTCAGACTTTCTTGAAGAAAGTTGTTCCAGAGCTTTTTCTGTTTGGGAAGAGGATCGGTCTTATCTGCGAAACTCATATGTTTAGTATGTGTTTGAAACTTACTAATAGTTTCATTGAAGATTGAGTTTTCTTTAATTTTCGTCTCAAGCTCTCTCCATTTAACATCGCTCATAACAGAAGTAAGGTAAGCAAACCGTGGATCGAAATACGCAGCAAGTTCATAGTTTTCTTCACCGACTATATCAGCAAAATATCTGTCTATGGAACTATCGATTTCATCTATGAATTCTATTGCTTCATTGAACAGAACATTTTCGCGAAATCTATAACCATGTTCGAACTTAAAGTTAGAGATAAACAGAACTGTACTGGTTCATGGTGAACTTGAGAAGCTGATGGATGCTAAGAAAAACCCCCATCGTTTCATCCCTTCGGCTTGCTTGATGAGTTGTCTCATCGAAAACTTGCAGAATTTGCTACATTTTCTCAAGTAGAGATGTTCCGTGAACGTTAATTACCATTACTTTTTCATCGAACATTAAGGCATCATAAGCACTCTTCTTAAACAAAGTTTTCGTTATTTATGAAATCGTGAGAACACTCACCTTTTCCAAGAAATGCTTCATCATCTGAAAAGATGAGTTCCACCTAATAGAACAGTCACTGACTGGCTCGCTCGGATCGAGCATGAGTTCCCTGCATTTGCTGAAATTTCATATTAAATAAGTTTTTTTCCTTCACTTTACTTCTTCATTTTCAACCGAAGACGGGGGCTCCTTTTGATTTTTTTAATGAAATTTCTGATGACTGCAAGGTATTCAGCATGGGGCTCTTTCCGCAAAGCAGATTGGACGCATAAATTTAGTTTATGAGCCAAGCAGTGTATTCTCAAAACTATTCATAGTCTTAGTTTATTTAGTTCACTTACTTTTTTTTGCCTAATATTTCACAAGCCCTGACCATATTGGATGCTCCGTCGCAAACTATGAAATCTGTAAGCGCCAAACATGATAAAGGCACGGATCTCCCAAAGTTCTCGGCAATAGTTACCCCTGTGTGACTAGAAAACATTCGGTTATGAAAATTTTTAAAATCTAACCTCCCATTTAAACAGATCAAATCAAGTACAACGTTTTGGCGTACAAAGGAATCCAATTCAAAAAAAGGAACTGTAACTGAGAGAATAGATATAGCTTAAAAATAAGTCAAAGTATCATTCATTTTTAGAACAACTTACTGGCGTTTTGTGCTGTCCAGCAATCGGAAGTGAAAGATAAATGCGTGGCACGCTCTATTTTTTCCATTAATGCCAGAGATATTTCTGAAATAAAATAAGAAAGTTAAACAAAACAAAATTTTACCTTCTCCTTTTGTGTGTATCCATCTCATTAATGTTCTCCTACTAGGCATCGAATATCCAACCAATTCACCAAATCTCATCAAATGAATGTTTTCAACAGCTCTTGCAGACGTGTAGGACGTAGCAAAAAATTTCGCGATTTCTTCATCCATTTTTTCTTTCAACTTCGAAGAAACAGTTCGAGAAACATAACTTTCGATGCCGAATGAGGAACTCGATTGTACTGACGATGAGTCGTTCATCATATCAACATGCTTTTTAGAAATATGGCTAGTCAAAATCGTAGTTGATCCTTTATACTTGTAGTTCACACCACATTTCTTACATATCGCAAACTCCTCACCCAGAACATTCTTTCTATCAAAAAACATCCAACATTTTGCTCCAGCCTTCATAGTTTATCGATTATCAACATAGAGTTTTCGAAAAGAAATCTAATTTCAATATCTTCTGTAAAACTCTCACAACTTTTTCATCAGACCTTTAATAAATGTATCGATAAGTTCGATATTTATCGAATTCTCATAATTCGATAACGATAAGTTCGATATCTATCGAATC